TACCCAGCACACGCTCCAGCTGCCGAGCACTGGGGTACAGCCAAGACGGTCGGTCCCGTGACAATGACCCTGGAGTATCGCCGCGAACTCCGTGCTCTGCTCTGGCGGTTTGGACTCGGGCTCCGGGACTCTGGAAATGCTTCGCCCGGGTCTGACCACCTGTGAGGAGGAACATCACCTCCTTCCCAGGCTCTTTGACTGCCCAGGGCGGGTGGGGGGTGGACAGGAAGCAGCTGGAGCCTCCGGCCCGGCAGGCGGGGCAGCGATTGAAGACCTCGGCCTCTTCCTCCGGCCTCGAAGGCCCCCGGCTCAGACCCTGACATCTGACCGCGGCCTCCGTGAACTCCTCGCGCAATGGAGTTGAAGGTGCTGGGTGGTCTGCTCTGGACTCCCGGAGATGCTGCCTTTCTCTTAGGCCTTTCAGGACATGAATGCGTGTTGTTCTGGAGGGGTGGCTCTTGCTGTGTTTGGGGGGCCCTTCTTCCCAGCACAAGCTGTGCCAACCTTTTTTTTTTTTACAACCTGGAAGTCTATGTGGGGCCCTCGGCATAAACCCCTCCTTAAGGAGACGTCGTCAAACCTGGGCTCGTCGGCATTTCTTCCAGCACTCCCCAAAGGTCTCACATGAGGAAATTAAGGGAGCAAGATATCGTCCTGCTTCCACTTAATATTCCTCGCCCCAGAGCCCTGCGCTTGGAACGGGAGGTACCTTCTGTACTGAGCCGGATGGCTTTGCTGAAATGCCCCGCCCCCACCCGGACCTCAACACCTGTAGCCGGAGCTGGGCCGGCAGCCCAGAGGCCCTGCACCCTTGGGCCAAAGGAATGTTTTCACTGTGAAGAACTGGTATTCGTCTTCCTTACATCTTTGGTAGAATTTGCCAGTGAGAGCATTCGGAGGCTTCTTTTTCTCAGGACCTTTTTGCCTCGGTTCTGCACACCGTGATCTCGCCGTCGGCTCTGACAGGAAAGCCTTGGTGAGGCAGCTCGGACCCGTGCTGCGTGCACCCCCACCGCTGGGGGTGCATCTGGGCCCGGGCGGGGTTCATGTCCCGGTTCCACACTCAGCGCCTTTGCTGCGCGTCTTTGGGTCGCTTCCACGCACACACAGCTTGGAGCGAGCCCAGAACCCGTGCGGGGTCCTGCACGGAGACGGGGATCCCCTTTGTCAGCCTTTGCCCCCGGGACTCTCTGGCTCCCAGGGGCCCTCTCTCCTACCCCTCAGGCTAGCAGTGCTGTGTTCCTGTGGACTTTTTTATCCTGTGCTGTCTGGGGCCCAGCTCTGCACTGCCACATGCCCGCTGGGCAGAGCGGGAGGGAGGAAGGAAAGACAAGGGCCCCCCACCCCCGCCCCCTGCACTCTTCCAGCCACGGGCCCTTTTCCCTGTTCCTGATCCTCTGGCCAGAGAGAAGCGTTAGGGTCAGGGCTCGGGTTCGGGGTGCCGGGTCCCTGCTGCCACCATCTCTGCCACGGAAGCATGGCTCAGCCACTGAGGCTGGCCTGGGGGCGGGGCCAGAGAGAGAGAAGAAAAAAGGGAAATAATTGGGGATTCCCCCACCTTCTGCAGCCCCAGGAGCCTCTTGTCAGTCCTCTGTCTTTCTGCAACGGTGTTTGCAGTGGGGGCTAAGAGGTAAGGCGGGAGAGCCCAGCACACCCTCTGACCGGTCCATCCGGCTCAGGGTTTCTCCTCCCTGCAACCCAGCTGCTACCCACCATCCACAGGGCGGAGTCCCGGAGCCTCGGCTGCAGTGCTCAGAGCTCCTCGCTGTGCGTGTAGCGGGCTTGCTCAGGCCTGGCAGGCGGCAAGAGCCTTTCATTGTGTTTTAACTTTTCCCTGAAGGATCCCCTGAGCCTGGGCTGAAACTGCCTTTGTGTGGGCAGGAAGCAGACCCAGCAGGGGCCCGTCCGGCAGGCTCAGCAGCACCGGCAGCCAGGGCTATGCATCCTCTGGAGGGGCCCTGCCCCTCCTGGGTCCCCTCCAGGCCTCCTGGGGCCCGCACCTGCCCCTCCTGGGCCCCCTCCAGGCCTCCTGGGGTCCCCTCCGCTTAGTGAGATTGCACAGGCAGGAGATGATGGCTCAGGGCGCCTTTGCCTCCCCGCCGCTCCCGCCAAGGGTCTTCGGCCCCCACCTGCAGGACACGTTAGCAGGAAACCTCCTTTATCCCCGCTCACCTTCTGTGGGCCTCCTGTGTCTGTGCTCGCACTCCCAGTGGAATTCACTTAAAACTAGCGAGATCCAAAAGGGGAAATGGGGAAAACCAAACCGCTCTTCTAGGGCGAGGCTGTGAGGGGCAGCCGGTTGGCCAGCTCTGGGCCCTGGGTGCCTGGGGCCCACCCCGCAATGACAGCCAGTGCGGCCCTCACAGGCACGGCTCAGGAGCACCGAGCACTGCAGCCAGCCGGCGCCGCGCCTCAGCCTCCGGAGCACGTTTCACCCCCACAGCACCCGAAGGGCGATCCCCACTAGTACACGCCTTTCACAAACAGGGAAACTGAGGCCCAGAGCGGGTCAGTCACTTGCCCGTGTCATTCAGCCCGAAGAGAACAGCACGAAGCCCAACCTCGTGCCTGACTCCTCGGCCCGAGGACGCAACCCCGACCCACCCTGCTTTGTGCATGAGACGCCCATGTGTTCTCACCTCCGATGAAGCGTTTGTAACGCCATGTTAGGACTGTGTCTGAGTCCCCATTCCTTTTCACTGTGGAGCCCTTCGAGGTCACAGGTCAGAGGTCCCAGGTGACCCTTGGCACCCCCAGGATCTAGCCAGCACCTTCCGGAGCCGAGTGCGCCTTCAGAGTTTGTTGAACAGATTGGGAATGGATACACGGCACCCCGAACCTGCCCAACCTTCTATGCGGATCATGGAGATCCTGAGAGAGCTTAGTGATAAGAGGAATTCTCTCCTGAGGTTTGTGGGCTGGCTGGGGGCAGCCCTGGGATTTTCCGATGAGCTAGGTCGCTGGGGGAGCCTGGGCCACAGATGGCGCGCCCCAACCCGACGAAACCGGGGACGGGGCCCCTCGAACACATGGCAGCCATTTCCCGGGGTGGCCACACGTAGAGTTGCCAGGCCTAGCCAATAGAAATACAGGACACCCTGTTAAACTCGAAGGCCAGATCATGTTTTAGGAAAAGTATACATTTTGCTATAGTTATTCCAATGCAATATTTGGAATATATACTTACACTAAAAAACATTACTTTGTTGTTTATCTGAAATTCAGACCTAACCGGGAGTCCTGGGTTTTTCTCTGTGGCTTGCATCTGACAGTCCTCCCCGCCCGACTCCCGCCTTTGGGCCGTCTGTACCTGACTGTCGCCTGCTTGGTGTCCGGCAAGGACTTCTGGGCACGGGGCTTGACCTTGGCCATCCCTGCCCAGTGCGTGGGGCTCAGAGAGGGAGGCAGGGCTCCGGCGGGTCTCCTGGCCCCAAGGAGACAGAGGACAATTCAAATGTCTTCACTCACGCACACATGTGACTTTACGATCCACAGCCCAGGGGCACAGACTCTATCTTGGTTGAGGCCAGGCTACCACAGTGCCAGGGAGGGCCCTGGGGACGGCCTCTGAAGGGCGGGGTGCCCACCAGGGTATGGCCCGCAAGCCCGCCTGGTGGAGCCGGCACCGACAAAAGCCCGTTCTCTCTGGCGTCCCCGCCCCCCAAGGGCGGTCATTATTCAGGGAAGTGCCGGAGCCGTGGCTGGTGGCTGTGCTTTGAAGATTTCCCTCTGAAAGGCTTTTCTGTCCCCTTCTCAGGACAGGCCCGGCTCTGGGGAGACTTATGTAACCTCTGTGTCCTCAGCAGGGACAGATGGGGACCGGGAGGCTGTGTCCTTCCTCGGGGCAGCCCTGCTGTGGGAGGCAGGGTAGGGACAGTGTGGCCCCCCCAAATCTGCTCCATTCTCAGAGGCCAGTGACTGCACCTGCCCTCTGGTGTGATATGCCCAGTTGTCACCTGGATGAGGTCCCCCAAAGTGGCCTGAAAGTGGATGGGGCCAGCGGAAGGGCCTTTCTGAGGGACCTTCCGGATGCTTCTCCCACAGCCTGTCTCCGAGGCGACTCCAGCCCTTGTTCTCTCCGTCTGGCCACGAGTCGGTTCCCGATCTCTGACTCCCCACGTCCGCCGGTGGCGCCCAGGCTGGCCTTCCGGTCCGTCTTCTCTTCACGTGGCTGAGGGGGGTTTGGGGGCCCTACGCTCTCCTGCGGAGCTGTGCCCTGCGTTCCGGCAGCTCTGCAACTTTCACGCCGTGGGCCTGCGGGGTTCTGTGGCCAGCAGTCTGCCCGATACATAACAATGCTTGTGCAAGTGTGTGCGTACACCCACGCACGGGGCGAGATGTTTACCCATGCATTATTCACAGTAGGAAAAAACCAAGACTCCTAAATCTCCGGTTCTAGGGCAATAGACTGCAGCTTGTGTTTATGAAAGAATATTATTATACAACTATGAGAATGGGACTTTGATGCACTTTTCATGCAGGAATATAAACCCGCATCTTTAAATGTGACTTCCCCTCTCCCTCCCTCTCTCTCTCTCTCTCTGTCTCTCACGCAGATAAGAGATTTGGGAGAGAAATACCCAAATGTTAGCAGCGATTATCCCAAAGTGGGGGGCTTGTGACTCTCATTTTTCTCTTTATCTTCTTTTACATACTTTTACTGCTCTAATCTAAGCGGAGCATATAGTACTTAACTCAGAAGACAGTTAGGGTGTTTTACAGCCCCGCGGTCTTGGAGGGGCCAGCCCCGCTGCCGACCAGCTGGCGGCGGAGATGCCCAGGTACTCGGGGCCTTGGCTCTTCCCTCCGCAAAACGGAAGTGTCTGCCTCCAAAGGGTCTATGGATACTAATTTGTAGGGATTAAAGTGTAAACCGTCGATGATAAAGGCGATTATACACATTGTGTCTTTGCACCGAGTGGCTCGACCGACCCCTGTGCCTGCAGGGGGCGCTTCTCCCCGGCCGGCGCCCCGTTAACTCTCGCTCTCCTCGTCCACAGCTGCCCATGATGGGAGGAGCCTTCATGGACTCGCCCAGCGAGGACTTCGGCGCGGAGTACTCCCTCTTCAACTCCTCCACCAACATCCACGCGGCCTCCGGCGGCCAGGGCCAGCCGGAGGAGCCTCCGCGGTCCTCCAACGACGCCGTCCTGCTGTGGATCGCCATCATAGCGACGCTGGGGAACATCGTGGTGGTGGGGGTGGTGTACGCCTTCACCTTCTGAGGGGCGGCCCCCCCACCCCCCACCCCGGTGCCGGGCACGCGGGCGGGGCTCGGTCCCGCGTGCCGTGGCTGCGGGCCTCTGGCTGCGCCCCCGTTCCAGACCCAGGAGTTCCGGCCGCGGGCATGGCCTCCCCGGGCGCAGCGGCCGTGCGTCTGGGATGTCCCCTCGCAGCCCCGATGGTAACACTCCGCGCTGTGGTCCAGCTGATGCGGGAAACGCAGCAGCGCGAGCTCCCAGCCCCATAGCCGTGGCGGGCAAGGCCTTTGAGGGGCCGAGCGGGGAATTCTTAAAACTGCTTTCCAAGAACAAGAGGACTGAGGGAACAGCCAGTTCGGTTCAGAATACAGACGTCGTTGGGCAAGCGCTGGCTGGCGGTGAATAATCACTCGGGTATCTTGTTTCCATGCAGACTTACCATGCCGGGAGCGTGGGGTGCAGGCAGGAGCCCCCTCAGCATTTGAGTGTTCCCAGCCCAGTCTCGCCCTCCCCCCCGCCCCCCGGGGAATGTTGGTGGTGGTCTCCAAAGGGCTCTCGAACATTCCTCGTCCAACTTGCAAGCAGCACCTTCGTCACCAGAAACCTGGCCGCTCCTGAGACCCACCCCACAGTGTCAGGAAGCCCAGGGATGGGGAGACGAGCGGTGACACGGCGGGACCTCGGGGTGGCGGTCCTCCTCCGCTGGGTGGACTTCCTCTTCCTGCGAACAAGCGCAGAAGCCCCCTTTAGAAATGAGAACTGCCGGTCAGTGCGCTCTTCAGGCCACGCATGTGAAGACGCCCCTCGTTCCCTGAGAAACCAGGCTCTTCGAGATGAGTGAGGCCCTGTCCGCCAGTCACTGGGGGGGGCGGGCGGGAGAGGTGTGTGGTCGCCTGTGGTCACCAGGCGCAGTCGGGTGTGGAGGGGCCAGATCGGGGGATGCCCCTCCCCCCGACTCTGCTCAGGGCCCTCTCTGAGCAGGGTCCCCCCTCCCCGGCTGCCCTGGGGGCAGTGTCCGTGGGTCTTGAATGCGCGCAGGGTGGGCGGGCGGGGCAGTCAGACACCCACATTGTGAACTCGCTTTGGCTGCCGCGTGGTCTGTTGCAGGCGTGAGCGTACCTGCCCAAGTCCGTTCCCGGCATTCTTAGAAGCCAGCGGCTGGGGGCCTGGCAAACAGGGAGGCCCCCCCGCCATGAGGACGGGAGTGTGAGGCGACATGCTCGGGGAGCAGTAGGAAAAGGGTGCATTTTTCCTCCGACCTTAGGAAAGGTCACTGTATAGGGCCCCCTTCTGGAGGGAGTGGGGGGCTCCCTCCCCTGCGGGCCGGGTGGCTGTCTCCCCGCTTTCTCCCTGCGCTGTACAAGACGAAATAAATGTTGTGAGCTCCCCCTCCATAGTTGAGATACCAGAAAGGCTGCTTAGGAAGCCCTTGTGCACGCTTGGGCACGATGGTGGACAGGCTGCGTTGCTCACCGTGGCCCCCAGGGAGATGCGTGTTCCTGACGACAGGCAAAGGGACGTCGTCATTGTCCAGCGTCATTGTCCAGCCACGCGCCCCGGGAGGTTGGCACTGAGCTGCCGCGATAACAGGGTTACCAGCCCCACCTCCAGACAGCGCCGGCAGATGGCCGCCGGCGTTTATTGGTCGCATCTGTCATCGCAGCAACCACGCAGCCACCACAAACGCTGCGGCTCGAGGGGAGGTCAGGAGTGCGGGGGGCGGTGTGACATTACAGAGAAGGAGAACAGATGTGGGACCTTCTGCCTGGATGCCTTCTGGAGCCCCCGATGGGGCCCTGCTCTCTGCGGGACCGGCCTGGACCCCGGGCTGGCTAGTCGGCCACTGAGTGCCCGTCACCCCAGCTCACGCCACTCCATCAAGCCCCCGTGTCTGCCATGGGCAGGGAGGTCAGAGCCAGACTGGGGAGGCAGCGCAGCGCATGGAGGTCTCTCCAGCCCTCCTGCCCTGATTCTCCATCTGCTGACACCTAAACGAGGCAGGTGGCAGCTCCCTGCTCTCCAAGTGGCCTGTGGAGGTGGCGCTGGAGAGACAGTTCTGTGGGGAGGAGAGAAAGGGTGGAGGACTCCAGCCTCCCTGGCAGCCCTGGGGGCCGGCATTCCCTGGGCACGGCAGTCTCCTTCCTAAAGGTTTTCTTCCCCTGACATAAACGCCTTCATCTCTTTTCAGTGTCAAGGCCATGGAGAGTCAGGGGCTTTAGGGGCCCGCTTGTCCAAACTTGGCATTGCACAGAGGACAGCGACTCGCCCAGGGCCGCTGCATCCCGACCTCCTGTGGTTCCCTTATCCATTTTCCCCACCACGGCTCAGACAACGATGGCGATAGATGTGTGCAATGAAGTTCTAGCCAGAGTGTCCTGCACTGTCCTTCCTGCCTGAGCTGCGGTTCCGTCCTGAATCTTAGGTAAAAGACAGAAGGAGATGCGACAGCATTGTTTGAGAGGCGGGTCCAGGCTCCGCGTCAGGCTGGCGTGCCCGTATTGAGTGCTCACAGGTACCTCACAGCGTCGTCGCTCCAGCCCACAGACCAGGAACCGGAGGCTCAGAGCAGCGGAGTGACTTGCGGGAGGCGACACAGCGTGAAAGTGGTGAGCCGGGGTGTGAGCCTGGACCGTCTGGCTCTAACGCCGGGCTCTTTCTGCAACACCGTGCTGCCTTCGGTGGCCGAGTGGCGCCTCTTGGCCACCTTGACACCAGCCCCCGAGTCTCCAGAGGTCCTCTTCCAAGGTCCCGCATCGTGGCACTGTCTGGGCCAGCTCTGGCTTCCACGGGTCGAAGTCTCTGGCTGTGCTTGGAACAGGGCACGCTCCTCCCCCCGCCAAGACTCTCTCAGCCCTGGCTTCGGGGTGGTGGTCTCTGTAGCCTTCCCCCCCTCTTTAAGGCTGAGTACAATTCTCTATGGACGCCAGAGGGGCCCCCAGAGACCAGCTTTGTGAGGATGCATGCCGAGGGGAGCCCCGCAGGGACCCCGAGGAATGGAGCACGTGCAGTGCGGCCGGAATTGCCGAGGGGGACTGTGGGACAGCCGGAGTTGCAGGGTGGGTCCGGCCAGGGCTCAGGCTTCCTGCTGAACCCCAGGGCTGCCCTGAGCTGGGAGGAGGGGTGCAGGGAGGGGACAGGTGCTCCTCCCTCAGACCCTAGCCAGCTTGGGGCTCCCGTTCTGGCTTCTCCTGGGTAGGGTGGTCCCAGCACCCACCTTGACTTGAGCAGCCAGCACTGAGAAGGAACGGCTGGACCCTTCGGTGGCTGCTCCTCCGAGAAGGGTTCCTGCATTTTCTGGAACATTCTCTGTGCACACTTTGACTCCATTTCCATTTTGCAAGCTGTAGGTGTCCCACACCAGCGTTTGTCTGCACGAGGGGCACATTTTGCTGAACAGAGCAACGCCCGCTTTACCAGGTCAAGTCCTGTCACTGGAGCTTGGTGGGGAGACAGGAGAACCCTTTAGCCTGGCGTGTCCTAAGGGGATGCCACCTCCTGCTGGGGCCTGGGCAAGGGGACCGCTCTGCCAGCTTCTGCTCTGTTATGCCTGCCCCTCCCCTTTTCCATGAGATCAAGGTCAAGAGGCAAACGAGGCTCCCTTGACCCTCTCTGCCCCTCAGAGAGACGACTGTTTCCCCTCTCGGGCCTCCTCCAGGATGCAGGGAGGGCTGGCTGGTGGCACTGGCCTGGAGCGACAACAGGCTGTCTTCCAGCCGTCTAAGTGGGGGCTTGGACGCCTGCCAGGCCACTGGCACCTGCCGGACCCCTCCCTGGAGACCGGACAGGCCCGCCGTTGGCACCCTGATGCCGACTCCTGCCAGGCAGGCCTGACCCTCCTCCTGGTTCCTGGCCCGTGGTGACGCCATTAATGGTCGTTCTCCCTGCTGTCGTGCATCCTGCTCCCCCCCGTCCTGTGCCGTGTGCAGTTTGCGTCTCATTTACTCCTCAGACCGCCCCCCGCCGCCCCCAGGCAGGAGTAAGGGTACGGAGGAGTGCACGTTTATCGGCATTGCTGCACGTCTCTGTTGAGTATCTGCGGCCAGGCTCCGTGCCCGAGAACCGGCAGCGAAGGAGCTGTGACCGGGCTCCACCTCTGCTGGCTGCACAGGCCGGGTAGTCGCTGGCATCTCCCTGCCTCCCCACCCCCCACCGCCCAGATGAGCCCTCGGGAGGGCCTCTGAGGCCCGGCTGTTTTGAACCTGGGAAGGGCTGGGCAGCAGTGCACACGAGTTTATCAGTCCCCGAGCTGTGAGCCGCCTTAGAGAGTGTCTCATCAGGACCCTTCAGTCTGGGTAGGGCAGCTGGGGCCACAGAGTAAGTTAGTGGAGAGCCAGGGAGGCTCCAGACACCTGGCGCAAAGCACCACCTCCCGGCATGCGGGGCATTCAACAGGGAGAAAGGGGTGGCCCTGGGCTACCAGCCCCAGCTCTGGGACAGGCATCATGTTCTCTGCCACCTGTCACCTGGCCCCTTTGCCATGTCCTGGCAAGGTCCCTTGACTGTCCCCAGAACAAGTGGGCTGGGCCGCCACGTCGGGATGCCCCCGGAGCTGTGCTCAGGCTGGTGTGTTCACCCCGCCCACCTCTCTGGCCCCGCCCCCCCACAGGCCCCTGACTTGGGTCATTCAGTGAGAGGGACGGCGGAGGGGATGGGTGGACTGAGCCCTGAGAGCCCAGAGGGGCAGAGTCTATTATCTCCAAGCAGGAAAAGGAGAAGCTCTGAGAACCCCAGGTAGCCAGAATTAAGCAGGAGCCAGATGGTCCCAACGAGGCAATTTAGAGATTCGACCTTCAGAATGTCCTTTCTCTTTGGGGGGCAGGGGACAACACAGAGCAAACCCTAGTGATTGAAGAGAGCAAGGACTGGCCCCGAGTGAGACACGCCGGCCAGCAGGAGCGGGACAGAATGGTCGAAGGCACGGGAAATTCACTGCACACACGGTGGGACCCTCGGGCGGCTGGACGGGTGGCCGGCGTTCTGGGGTGTGCTGTGCACGGTGCCGGCATGCACCCGCCCCGACCGCGCCCTCTCTGCAGGGGAGTCAGACCCTCGTTCCCCACCGAGCCCCCCATGTGCCGGAGCAGTGGCCGGTGGCCCGGTGTCTGTCTGATTAGCCGCCGTCTCCCCAGCATTGTTACTGGAGAGTCACTGCGTGCAGTGCACAAAGCTGTGTCCCAACGGGCCAGGTGGCCCTGGCCAGGGCTCAGGGCACTGGCAGGTGGGGGGGGGGGCGGCTTCCAGCCTTTTACACTTGAGGAAACTGAGTCCCCAAGAGGTCTGGGAGGGTTGTCAGGTCAGGCTGGCCAGCCAGAGAGTGTCCAGGGCATCTGTCTCCAAAATGTCTGAACCACTGGGCCACTGCTTCTCCATGAGGGACAACTTTGTCCCCCAGGGGACTTCTGCCAATGTCTGGAGACAGTCGTGGTTTTCCCAGCTTGCAGGGGAGGGGAGCGGTTCTACCGGCCTCTAGTGGATGGAAGCCGGCGGTCCATGAACAGCGCCCACCACAAAGAATTCCCCGTCCCCGGAACGCCAGCAGTGCGGAGGGTGGGAAACCCAGCCCCGGGCCGCACCGGCTGCTGGTGTTTCCCGAAGGTCCGCTTTCCCCAGCTGTGAGTCATCGAGTAAATCAGAGTCTGCGGAGCAAAGCAGCCACCGTGGCGGCAGCCGCCTCGCTCGAGCTGACAGGTCGGCAGAGGACAGAGGCCTGGGACCCAGACGTCGTCGAAATGCCCATGATTCACCATTTCCCTGTGACTCTGCATTTCCACAGCCTTCCGCGTTCATGGGGAGTCTCAGCCCCAGTGGAGGAAACACCGCCCCTGATGGTGGTGGGTGGGGCTGAACTTGGCCCAGTAACTGTGCATCTCTGGGACCCTGAGGGACTGGCCTCCCGCCAATGCCTCTGCAAAACCCGGTTTGGGGGGTGGGCGTGGGGGCCGCCGGACAGCCTGGGAGAGACCCACACCTCCCTGGCTTCTGACCACTGCCCCATCCTCGCCCTACGTCCCCCGGATGAACACGCCCA